GTGACCATTCCGGGTACTCATTGCCGCCATCTTACAACCGTGAGATGGGCAAGCACATCAATTGGCTGGCAGAGCGTGGCATTCAATGTGTGAACTCCACTATGCTCGCTCAGGGTGGGAAATACGACAACTACCACCTGCACGACCACCAATTTAACCGGAAATTGGTTTATCGTTTCTTGAGAGGAGCCATCACCTTCCACCTCAAATACGTTGAGCTCATGTCGAAGAAGGACGATCTCAAGTACTTTGTGAAGGAGTTCATCAGCAACGAACAAGACCGTGTGGCCGCGGTCCATCTCTTCCCCACGATGGTTCAGTTTCGTTTGGCTTTGCTCGGCACTCAAGAAGTCATGGAAGCCGTCTCCACTGAGAAGAAAACGGCAACCCCTGCCCAGGTCTTTGACGAGGCAGATGAGGAGATCCTCATGTGGGTCCATGCAGGAATTCTTGAAGCCAATGAGGAAGCCACCCGGGAGGGGAGGCCGATGCCCACTGCTTTCACTGATGAAGAGATCAGCTCCATCGTCCCAATTGACCCTTCGATCGAGGACTACGAAACCGAGGAAGTCAGGGCCCGACAACACCTTCAAGAAGATTTGAATCAGGCCGTGGCTGATGGTTTCTCAACTACAACCATTGAGTCGATCGAGATCAATCCGGAGAACACCGATGTCGAAGATGATGTTGAAGTTGTTCCCGAGTTTGATGAGTGGGACGTGATCCTGGATGAGAAGATCATTGTCAATCCCCATGACGAGAAGGTCAAGGAAGATGAAATCTCGGAGGAAAGAGCCAAGGAGGTTGCAGATCTCAACAAGATCATCGAGATCACATCCACTGAGGCAAAGCCTTCGGGAACGTCGGCCGATGACCCTGCTGCTGCAAAAGATGCACCCGCAAAGACTGACCAAGGAGGGGAAGACATGACTTCATCGAGGATTTCAACATGGAGTGTGGTTGGTGGTGAAGCATCCAAGCCCAGCGACATGACTTCTTCAAGGATCTCAACTTGGACTGAGGTTGGTGGATCTGAAGCCACTGCCATGGACGTTGACTCCGAGAAGAAGGAAGGTGCTGATGCTGCCCGGGAGGGTGTGCCGACTGATGCTGTAGTTCCTGAGGCTTCTGCTTCTTCCGAACAGCCTGCTGACAAGACTGCCATTGTCGACTTGACCAAGACCGAGAAGAAGGTTGAGGTTGACAAGCCAGTTGGAAAGCCGGCCGAAAAGAAAATGCCGAAGAGTGAAAAGCAAAAGGCACCAGAGTCAAAAGCGCAGCCCAGACAGAAAGCGCCGCGACTCAGTGTCGAAGCTGATGCAGCCCTTCGCAAGTTGGAAGAAGCGACGGAACGCCAAGAGGGATCAGTATGGTTGGACCCCAATGACATGATCAACAGGATTCCCAAGGAGTATTGCGGCCAAGGGCGACTGAGATTTCTTTCCACAAAGTTATCTTATGTTCTCCGAGGACACGCATTGAGCTATGGTGCTCGCAGCCCAGACATCGATCCCATGGATCTTTCGATGGATTTCGAGGCGGTGATGAAGACGATGGCCCACTACGTCTCCTACCCGAAGATCAGTGAGGTCCTGTCCATCGTGCGCAACAGTGACACCAGGCGCTTTCAGGTGAAAGTGGCTCAGCCCGATTTGCCTGATGCAACCTGGAAGGGTTTGCCATGGAAGGTTGTCGCCATCAGAGCTGTCCAAGGACACAACCGTGCAGTGGTGGAAAATGCCAAAATTTCATCGCTGGTGAAGGAAGTGTTCACTTTGGATCCAACCTTTACCAAGGCTGACCTCGACACACCCAAGTTGCCGAGGACAAATCTTCGCCCAGACCTCGTGCCGGAGATGTTGGCTGCACTTCCAAGGGTTATCTACCATAGCTGCGACAGGCTCGCTATGGACAAGATAGTTGAACATGGTCTCATCCCAGGTGGCTGGCCCCAAAGAACAGGAAGGGCGCATAATTTCTTTATTGCGTCGCATCCATGGGATGATTCAGTCGGTGGCAGAAAGCTCGCGGGAACGCGAGCCGGGAAGCAATACTACATTGCCTTTGACACCGAGCTCATCGTCCAAAGCGGCTGCCGATTGTTTCGCACAGACGAAGCAATCATAAGCCCTGACTGGATCTCCAACGAGAACATCATTTGCACATATGATGCTGTCAACAGGGAGTTTGCCTGGGTGAATCGCCCCTATGAGATCACGCGTGTGGGGTACAACAGCAAAATGAAGACCCACAAGGACCAGGACACTCCGAAGAAAGAAGCCTTGTCCAAGAGCCCGTATGCCAACGCCAGGGACAGTTTGAAGGCCTACCTCATGAGCGGCAAGTCCATTCGACCCGGCCAGATGCAGATGACCGACTCTCCAGAAGAGCTTCCCCCACTTCTTCGTCGACGTGAAGGAACTTCAGGACCCTTCGAGGACAAAGTGACGTTGAAGATGGCCTCCTTTGGTGCCTTGTCCAATGCCGAAACCATTCGCAAAGGCAAGGGCCGGGGAAAAGGCAAGGGAAAAGGAAGCCGCCCGGGAGGGCAGGCCCAGCGCTCAACAAATGCGGAGGATTACATCTACAGCTCAAAGATTGAGATGCAACAGGTCCGATGCCACTTCTGCGGCGAACAGAACATTGAGGGCACCCACAAATGTCAGTCGTGCTTCAAATGGCTGATTGCTTGGTCGGATGGAAGAATTGCGACAGAGGTATGCCGGATGGAAATCTCGGCCAAGAAAACCAACAAGGTATTTTCTCTGGACAAAATCGACTTTGAGAAGCAGCCTCGAGCTCAGCGAGTCTCCGACCGCACCCGAGCAGATCAACGTCGAGCTGGACGAAGCAATTTCGGAAATCTCAAGGACGCTGCTCAGACACATGCGGGAAGATACACGAAGCTCGGCTTCAAGTCGATCCAGGACCGCATGGAGAAGGACCCATTTTATTTGTTCAACAATGCGGTCGGCCAGATCACTCCCGACTGTTGCCAATTTTTGGAGGACTTGGCAAAATGCATTGCCCCTGATGTCGGCCGTACCCGAGAGAAGCGAGAAAAGCAACTGGGAACAGGTGTCAGCACTCGTTTGATTTTTATGCCAGACTTCAACAGAGACATCCGACTCCCGTTGGACGTTACAAAGGAAGCCATGGTTGCACATCATGCACGAGTTTTTACACTCCCACAATTTGCTGTTCTTGCTGCGGACTTGCTGAAAGCGAGGGGGGAACCCACGCCGATGTTGTTTGGTTGGTCTGGCTCAATGATGCCTGTGGATCAAGGGTCAGCCCAAGATTGTTTCTTTGACCTCGTCGATTTTGCGAAGAGGCAGTGGAAGGAACAATACAACAACATCAAAGGCGAAGAACACTCCTTCGTGGATGAAGCCACTGCATCAGATGTGGCTGATTTTCCATTGGCAAGGTCCTCCAAGACGGGTACGGGCGAAGGGCGAGAAGGATACCGGCGTCACTTTGACCCGATTCAGAAGCCAGCCAAGGGCAAAGGAAAGGGATATGGTCAGCAACAGCGCCCAATCTTTCAGCAGGCTATTGAGTGCTGGAAGTGCGGTCAATATGGCCACAAGTCCTTTGAATGCCGCAGTGGATGGAACCGAGGGCAACAGTGGGGTTCGTATGGATCTTACTCAAGCCGCTCGGGAGGGCAGGCCCAATGGCAAAGCTGGAATTGGAATCAGAGCTACTCTGGCCGAGGTTGGACTGCTGATCCTTGGGGAAGATCTTCAGCATCAAGCTCCTCGGCAGCTCCTCCGAAGCCAGTGCGGCCACCATCAACAGCGACGCCTATGCCTGACACAACACCAGCTGCTGGCGATTCTGCCCAAGCTGCCTCTGGATCAGCTACCGCAGCAGAGCCTCCACGACAAGTGCCTCGAGCACCGGTTGTGATTGCCGAGGAGTACTGCGAGATCAACGGCCAGCCGCACTACAAGCGCACCTACAATGATGGGACGGTAGAGTTTGAATCTTGGTAGATGTCTCACATCTTGTGCCATGATTTTATGCCTACCGGGAGGTTTGGCCGATTGGATGAAAGCTGACCCATGGTCATTCAGTTCAATCAAAGTGCACACATTTCCAAAACTTGAAATTCCAACATGATTAACTTGTAAACCTTTTCCCAATTGCTTCAAAAGAAATTGACACCAGCATCCGATCCGTGTAGCATTCGTGTATATAGCCGTGTACATAGGCCTGATACAGTAGCTTCCAAGTTTTCAGGGCGATAAGAGGAGTGGTAATGCTCCTATGCCTTGGCGGAAGCCAGGCCGATGTCACTTTTGCTTCAACCGACATGTGCTATGCCTGGATCCAAAAATGAATACATCCAACCTTGCATTCGATGCCTTTTGCCTCATGCATCCAATGAGCTAAGACCACATCTGCACGATAGGTGAATGTACAAACAGTGATGTCTTATGAACTCTGATCGCTCTCAGGTCACCTCTGGCGGTCGAGTTCGTTAGCCTCTCCGTCCTCCGTTAAAACTGCGGGGCGGCGGGGGGTGTTTTTCATAGGTATCACCTCATGTACATACATTTCACCTTCTTTACTATCGTGCTTATGGCTCAAGAAACAAGCGTCTACTTGTTGTGCATTTCGGGTTGTTTAACCTGTAAAACAGTTTTCATGCTCAATTGGAACTGATCAGCTCCAGTCGACCATTTCTCAGGCTTGAAACCGCCAACCAATATTTTCGGGTTGAGATTGGGCAAGAAAACACTAGTTTGATGAATGTTTGATGAACATCCTCAGACTTTTAATGAAGATTTGGTTTGGCTCATCCAGCCAATGAAGGCGGGAACCGAACCAAGACCAATAGGTTTGTCCGAAAATACAGCTACACTCAGCTACACTCAGCTACACTCAGCTACACTAAAATCGGTCTATCATCATGTCCCCATTATTTCAAGGTCATGTAGGGTGAATCCACTAGGTCCAAACCTAATTCTGTGCGACCTGTGGCACCCAAGGCCAAAGAAATCCCCCAGAGATCTTCGAGCGCGCGAGAAGATTGGGAAGCTGCTGGTGCCGCTCTGTGGATTCCAAGGGGTTCCCGGGAGAATCCACGTTGAAACCCGCACCCCTTCGCCATGCATCTGCATCGCCCTATTTTTGCACCATTTTGCATCCACATCAACAGCCTTGGGTTTGGGGTGTGGCAGGTGGCGCATTACGAAGTGCGCAGTAAGTCTCTTGAGACCAAGAAGTGGACCCGGATGCTGATGCGGGTGATTCTGGCCAGCGAGGACGCCACCGTGCAGCGTGTGAAGCCTTCCATCATGCCATGGATTGCCAGGGATTGCCATGGATTGCCATGATCCTGTCATGGATCGAAATGGGCACGGCTCAAAAATTGGTCCATTCCTCACAAAATCAGCAAATTTTGGTACAAAATTCTCCACTTGGGGTTCAGAACCCGCATGGGCAGCTGCTATACCAGCTATACCGTGTGGTAATGTCATGTAATCTCATCAAATGGGAAAGCCATGGAAAGCCCAGGAGAAAAATCCGGAGGCCCTGAAAGAGGGCTTGGCCTTGCTACAGAACGCCCAGAATCTCATAGGCCAGTGTTCGAAACATTTCGAAACCCATTCGATCTGGTTGAGATATGAGAAAATCATCGTTCCACATCGAACATGGCCATTTTAATCCATTTTAGATGCTTGGAAAATCACCATTTCTGCTGGAGCCTGCTAAGTCCCAATCCTTGCTTAAATTGGCTTCGAGAAAATTTACCATTTCGCATTTCTAATATCACCACTGACCACTTTTGACGAAATCCTCAGACATTTCGTGGGTGAAACGGTGAAACCGCCAGGTGCGGGGGACGAAGGTGAGAGCAAGAGCCGGGTGCTCCTGCAGGCACTCTGTTTGGTGGATCGCAAGGTCAAGGTGCGCAACCTGGAAAATGACAGCAAAATCAGTTGATTTCTCCATGAAAAATAAAGACAACATGGACAACAAGCGAAATGTTCTTGGACAAACGCAGGATTAGAATATGAACAGGGTGATTCTGTTCCAATTTCATGCACAACAAAGAATGGTTCTTCGGGTGGTTCTTGTCTGCTTGATTGTTGCCCTTCCAAAGCGAAACACCAGGTGCGCTCACCCATAGCAGATGCTGTGAGAACCTTGGAGGATCCCGTTTCCGATGCTTCACACCAGATGTACGAGTTGTATCTTGTCGTATTGTCTGTAGAATGCACGTATGGGACGTATGGACAATACACCCAGTACCAGTACGAAAAGATCCTTCATGGATGATACAATCATAATCAATCATACCTCCTTTGATGTCTCTCTCACATATCCATGTCATCATGTCATCGCATTTCTTCAAGTATATACATCAAATTCTATGCGTTTTGCAATTTTGGCACTTCACTGGAAAGTTTACTGTTTAACTCAACATCACTTTGAAACTGCGGTCAGTCAGTCTTTCCGTAAGTTTTTCCCAAAGTTTTCCATAGATCCAGATCCTCTCCAATTTTTCCACATTTTTGAATCTCCGTTGAACATCACAGGAGCTGACGAAGCGCAAGGAGAAGCTCCTGGTGGACATGGCACCCATGGGCCAAGAGGAGGCCTCGGTGCCGCGCCTGGAGGACACCGAGGAGTCGCGCCTCGGCGGATTTTTCCAGAAGTTGATACAACATATTTTTCCATAAGTAACATAAACATTTTTTCTGTACATTACTGTACCAATCATACAACAATATTAAGATGTAATTTGACATACAATATTAACAATGATCATAACTGCGACATAACTGACATAATTCCACTTTTCGATAGTTATAGTATATTATAGTTGATAAGTTGATATTAAGATGATTATATAAATTATATATATATATATATTAATTTTGACATCTTAATAGCTCTGGTGAAATCTCATGTGCGATCCGGGCCAAAGTCTCAAGTGACCTCTTGGTTTGACGTTGGATCTGAGGCTGGCGGATGAATTGAAGAAGTCCTGGCAGATTGTGCATCACGAGGCCGCGACCTTTCCTGCGCTTCGTTTATGTGGGGCAAAAAAACACAGACTCAGGGAGTTGTTGTTTTTTTTTCTCGGGGGAAAAAAGAAGAGGCATCATTGGAGCAAAGGTGTGACAAGAAGGACCATTTCAAGAATTGATATGAAAGAACAACTTGCAGATTTTTGTCATCCGAGATTCTTGTTTGGTTGATCACTTGATATGAACCGAAACTTCATCACGAAAACTGAAACTGAACCCTGCTACAAGGATGATCAACACCCATTTGATCAAACCCATGGCCATCAGGCGACAACTTGGAAGCCCATGGACAAAACCAAGGATGGCCTCGGGTGTTGCAGTGGGTTTTGTGCATGCAAAACCGAAGCTGAAAGGGACACAAGTCAGGTTTCCGTTAAGTCCAATCTGTTAAGACATGGTATTTCCGTTGGGTTTCTCTATGTTTCTGGGGCAAAGCTCCAGGAGACTGCCAAAGACAGTGCCTCAGTGAAGCACCGGTTGCTGTTCTCGTGCAACGCAGCACAACGCAGCAGAACGCAGCAGAACGCAGCAGAATGCAGCAGAACGGCTACAGTGACTGTAAATAATTAAGGAGACTTTACTGATTATTACTCTTATTCTGATAGAAAAACCGTCGTTTACATAGTGCTCCCAATCTTTTCGCACACTATCATGAAATCTTCTGGAAATCTTCAGGATCCTTACCATGATTTTCCACCGGACCTCAGGAACTCCCAGCCCATCCCGGTGGCGAGGCCAAGCATGCGGATCGTTTGGATCGTTTGAAGAAGAAGACCGAGGCAGAGAAGGAGGCGGCGGTGGAACAGGTGCGTCCTGCATCTTGGACCCCGAATTGGATGGGAATTGGATGAGCATTGGATCGTTGAGGATGGGGGATGGATGCCATGGGATTCCATAGGTTTGCAGGATGAGACATGACAAGACTTACAATAATTATAAACTCAGCAGGAACTCATCCCCGAGTACCCAACAAGACTTAGGTCTTATTCATGTGACATGTAGAATGTTCGCAGAACCGGTGAGCAAATAGTTGACTGTAGATTCACGCCACACTCCTTTGTCCGCTTTATGTGGTGTTGGTTCCACAGCTGAGGGAAAGGCGCTGTTTTTCATGGCAAGCCGAACCGCAACATGTCCTTCGCATGACATGGCAAGAGGCATGGCTCTGGTGCTCAACAGGATACTGTGCCAGGAGAGCTCACAGAGATGGTAGCATTGCGGAACAGGAACAGAACGAACAGAACACAAATAAAAACATGACTTGAAGAGAGTGCAAGTATACGCAACATGCAATGCAGTAAAGCAAACAGAAACCAGAAAAAAGCAACCAGCAAGTAATGAAGAGCCGACATAAACAAGACATAGTTTCATACCCAGTTGAACTGGTCAAGGACAAACGCTTTGGAGAGGTATATGAATGCATGCCATGGCGTTCTGAACGCCAGCCCCCATGGGTGAGAGAGCCCCTTGGATTTGCATCAATGTTTTGAACCTGTCTTGCAGTTTGCCAATAAAAGATGCTAAGATGATGAAAGAGCATACCCAATGCATACCCAATGCATACCCGGCCTTTCAAACTTGCAATTTTTTGGAGCCTATTTCATACCCGGCCGTCACATAACATGTACCTTTCGGCTGGAAATCAGTGGTTGACCCCAGAGGGTGCGCCTGATTTCATCATACCCGTGTCCAAAATTGGAGGATTTGCAATGTATGCTTTGACTGGGTGAAATGATGTGAAATGAATGAACGTCGTAATATGTCGCCAAATATGAATGATCAATATTGGGGGTACCCCAGTTCACACCATCCCATTGTTTTCACCTACGTTCGCCCCAGGCAGATGAGCGGACGTTATGGGTGCTCAGAAGGCTCGACACCCTCACCTCTTCTAATGGGAATCTGAATGGATCGGCCCCGAGAACAGAGGTTGGCCATATCCTCAAGATATTATCTAATATAGCCAAAACATCCCACTGACTCTGTTATGTTGATATGATCTATGTTGCATTTGAGTCTATGTGGGATAACGGGATAACATATGGCTGCTTCTGTAGCTGCTTATACAAATGCTGGCAGCTGGATTCTGTCATCCGCTAGATTCCGCCATCGCATTCCATCACACTTCTCTGTCAGGGTCAGCACCATCTTTGCCGTGCGCAAAGAGAAGCAGGCACGGAAGTTCTACGGAAGACCTTTGGGTGGTAAAAAACATGTGAAAAATCTAGTCTGATTGGTGGGAGCCCCGAATGTTGTTGTTTGAATCATGTTTAAGCCATGGCTTGTTGGTTGAAATAAGTTGAAATATCACATACCCTATCATACCCTACAGGTACCCTACAGGTACCCTACAGGTATCCTAGAGGTATCCTACAGGTACCCTCTCCGATCCCAGGCCATCCCCAATATCTTTCGTATCTTCTGGCTCCGCCAGGAACGCTTCTTGCAGCTCTTCGGGGATGACGCTCCGAGCCGCACCACACTGCAGACCTTCCTCCATGAGGCCGTCCCAATGGTATCTCAAAATGAACCGGATTTGGAAGTTATGTAGTTGGCAGGCGGCTGATAGAACGCCGCCAGCTTTTGTGCGTTTTTCTGTCTCGCCTACTTTTCTCACGCGTTCTTGCTCTGTCGATGGGGTGGGGTGGGGTGGGGTATTAACGTCATGTGCAAGTAACTTCTAACGCGCTCTTGGCGTTGCGCGCTGCACTTCTTCAAGTAACTTCTAACACGCTCTTAATGTTACGCTTTGCACTTCTTCAAGTAACTTCTAACACGCTCTTGACGTTGCGCGCTGCACTTCTTCAAGTAACTTCTCACACGCTCTTGATGTTACGCTCTGCACTTCTTCAAGTAACTTCAAACACGCTCTTGACGTTACGCCCTGCACATTTTCAAGTAACTTCAAACACGCTCTTGATGTTGCGCTCTGCACTTCTTCAAGTAACTTCTCACACGCTCTTGACGTTACGCTCTGCTCTTCTTCAAGTAACTTCAAACACGCTCTTGATGTTACGCTCCGCACTTCTTCAAGTAACTTCTCACACGCTCTTGATGTTACGCCCTGCACTTATTCAAGTAACTTCAAACACGCTCTTGATGTTGCGCTCTGCACTTCTTCAAGTAACTTCAAACACGCTCTTGACGTTACGCTCTGCACTTCTTCAAGTAACTTCTAACACGCTCTTGACGTTGCGCGCTGCACTTCTTCAAGTAACTTCTCTTGATGTTACGCTTTGCACTTCTTCAAGTAACTTCAAACACGCTCTTGATGTTACGCTCTGCACTTCTTCAAGTAACTTCAAACACGCTCTTGATGTTACGCCCTGCACTTATTCAAGTAACTTCAAACACGCTCTTGATGTTGCGCTCTGCACTTCTTCAAGTAACTTCTCACACGCTCTTGACGTTACGCTCTGCTCTTCTTCAAGTAACTTCTAACACGCTCTTGATGTTACGCTTTTGCTTGACTATGTCCCATGTTTCTTTAAATTAATTGGATCAACTTTCCCTTGCAAAATCAAAGGGAACTTAGGATCCAAGATGCACCCAGAAATCGATACTTTGATAAAACAATGGTTGTACAGAATTTGGACACCTGGCTCTAGTCCTTACGAAGTCTATCAAAATTCATCTCACGTCCTGCAACGCTTGTGATAGAAAGAGATACACAGTTACAGATACAACATTGATAAAACAAAGTAGTTTGTCGCAGGATTTGAAAGGGTCCAAGAAATGGACAAACGCAGAAAGTCCTGAGAAAACGCAAGGAAAGTGAACTTGCAACAGTTGGGAAAACGGCGTTTTATCAGCCGCTTACCATGTAGTTTTATGTCTAACAACTCAACCATCAAACATAGTCAAAAATGGATCAAGTAATCCACATCACCATTTTTGTCCACCATTGATGGTCAAATCATCATGAACACTGCCATTATATGTAAATTTTATTCAAGGACAGTTAGGTTTTCAGAGATGTCTTGTCGCGCCATTTTCTTACCCCAGGTGGAAGTTCCCGCCGTCTTCTTTCACTTGCTTGGAAACTCAGAAAGTTTGGTGTTTCTGCTGGAAGATGGGATTGAATGGCTTTGTTTGCCGGGGGGCGGGTAGTGGGATGAAATGGCCATAAGGCCATAACATACTGGAAAATGTGACTGAAAGGTCAATCCCCAAGGTCTAGTCAAGGAAATTTGAGACATTGAATTATGATGAATTGTGGAAGTATTCGGACAGATTTGTGGACAGATAAATGGGTGAAACTTCACATGGACAGTTCCAGGTTCACCCATGCCCTTCATCCCCTTCATCCCGATCTTTCGATATCTTTCGATCTTTCCGCCTCGAGGTCACCAAATGGTGAGAGTTGTAGCGCTTCCAGTGACTTGCCGACGGCCCGAGCCTTGGAACAATTTCCCATTGGCTGTAAGAACATGAGAAAAATATGTCCAAATTGTCTGAGATCTGAGGCGGCTCAAATGAAAAAGAAGGTGGGATTCTGGTGGATGTGGTGTAATGTCGCTTGCCATCCCAGATTTGAGTGACAAAATCAGGGTTGACTGGCTTAAGTTCATCAAACATGGGAAGTGATGAAAGGTGTCAGAAACCAGTCATCACCTGGTTAGGTTTTTGGTTTGACAGACAGAAATCAGTAGTTTGAGTTTGACAACAACATAGATCAAACACTTTCATTGGTCATTTTATCTCACTTTCATATATATATATACATATATTATACTTTCATCATTTTCCATCTAGCCTTTTGATGAGCAGGTGTTGGCCTTGGTGCGATCCAAGCACGAGGTGGAGATAGACATAGGCCTGGGTGTCTGAGACCACTTCAGGAACAAGTAGTTTTCATTTCACGATAATTTCTCTGAAGTGGCTGCTCTCTGAAGTTGCTGCCTGAACATCGTTTCGAGACAAAGTCACAACATATTATCGGTAAATGGTTGATGTTTGCCCGTTAGGTTCCAATTTTTCCCGAATGCGTAGCAAGGGTTCCCGTTTCACTCTGGGGGTCTGGGGGTTGAGGGTGTGTTCGCTCGACGTTGCGTTCGCGTCAGCAACCGTTCGCAACCGTTCGTGCGATCCCCGTATGGCCGTGCCTATGGTAAGTTCTGCAGGAGGGGTCGTTTTTGGATGTTTCCAACGTTTCGTTGCTTCGTTTCGCGTGGTAGGCGTGGCACTTTGTGACAAAATTCAGACGTGTTTTGTAACGTGTCGAAAGTCGTTTTGTGTGGCAGGCGCAATACTTTAGCGACGTTTTCCGAAGATGCGTGGCAGTTTGCGTGGCAGGCGCAGCACTTTGGACGTGCCCATCGTCATTTTGCGTGGCAGGCGCAGCGCTTTAGACGTGTGGTGTGGCGTGTTTTTTGCAAATCGCATTGGCATGGCTGCGTCAAGTGGCGACAAGGTGCAAATTCCGTGGCAGGCGTGGCATTTTGTGACATGTGCTGAAAATTGACGGAAGCCTCGCACGAAACATCGATTTTGAAGTTGCGAATTTTAGAGGTTCCTACGAAAACTCGTAGGAAAACGTCGATTTTGAAGCTACAAAGTGTGAAAATTGGATGAGGTCTCGCACGAAATGCTCGTTTTGGTGCTTGCACGTGTCTCGTCTCGAGTCTCTGGTTTTCCCGTGGCTTCGCCGTGTCTATAGGGGAAGCAGCAAAACCTCTCCTTTTCGAAGGTTTCCAAGCAGGTTGTCATGTCGTTTTGCGTGGCGGGCGTGGCACTTTGTGACATTCCAAGCTGCTTGATAACGTGTCGAAAATGTCAAAATTGGAGGAAGTCTCGTACGAAGGCTGGTTTTTCTGCATCCACGTGTCTTGTCTCGAGTCTCTGGTTTTCCTGTGGTGTCGCCGTGTCTATGAGGGAAGCTGGAAAACCTCTCCTCTTCGAAGGTTACCAACTGTGAAAATTGGAGGAAGTCTCGCACGAAATGCTTGTTTTGCTGCTTCCAGGTGTCTTGTCTCGAGTCTCTGGTTTTCCTGTGGCGTCGCCGTGTCTATGGGTGAAGCTCCGCACTCCACACTCTACACTTTACACTCCACACTCCACAATTTACACTTTAGACTCCACACTCCACACACTTTATACTCCACACTTTACACTTTGCACTTTACACTCCTCACTCCTCACTCGAGACTTTACGCTCCACACTCCACACTTTACTCTCCACACTCCTCACTCTACACTTTACACTCTACACTTTACACTCTACACTCCACACTTGACATTTTACACTGCAGACTTTACACTTTACACTTTACACTCCTCACTCCACACTTTACACTCCACACTCCTCACTTTACACTCCACACTCCTCACTTTACACTCCACACTCCACACTTCTCACTTTACACTCCGCACTCCACACTCTACACTTTCCACTCCACACTCCACACCCCACACCCCACACTTTACACTCCACATTCCACACTCCACACTTTACACTTTAGACTCCTGACTTCACACTCCACACTCTACACTTTACACTCCACACTTTACACTCCTCACTCCTCACTCGAGACTCTACACTCCACACTCCACACTTTACTCTCCACACTCCTCACTCTACACTTTACACTCTACACTTCACACTCCTCACTCCACACTCCACACTCGACACTCTACACTTTACACTCTACACTCCACACCCCACACTTTACACTCCGCACTCCTCACTTTACACTCCACACTCCACACTTGACATTTTACACTCAGAACTTTACACTTTACACTTTACACTCCTCACTCCACACTTTACACTCCACACTCCTCACTTTACACTCCACACTCCTCACTTTACTCTCCACACTCCTCACTCTACACTTTACACTCTACACTTTACACTCCTCACTCCACACTCCGCACTCGACACTCTACACTTTACACTTTACACTCCACACCCCACACTTTACACTCCGCACTCCTCACTTTACACTCCACACTCCACACTTGACATTTTACACTCCAGACTTTACACTTTACACTTTCCACTCCACACTCCACACCCCACACTTTACACTCCACATTCCACACTCCACACTTTACACTTTAGACTCCTGACTTCACACTCCACACTCTACACTTTACACTCCACACTTTACACTTTAGACTCCTGACTTCACACTCCACACTCTACACTTTACACTCCACACTTTACACTTTACACTCTACACTTTACATTCTACACTTTACACTCTACACTCCACACTCTACACTTTACACTCCGCACTCCACACTCCACACTTTACACTCCACACTCTACACTCCACACTCCACACTTTACACTTTACACTCCTCACTCCACACTCTACACTTTACACTCCACACTCCACACTTTGAACTTTACACTCCTCACTCCACACTCCACACTCGACACTTTACACTTTACACTCCTCACTCCACACTCCACACTCGACACTCTACACTTTACACTTTACACTCTACACTCCACACCCCACACTTTACACTCCGCACTCCTCACTTTACACTCCACACTCCACACTCTACACTTTCCACCCCACACTCCACACTCTACACTTTACACTCCACACTCCACACTTTACGCTCCACACTCTACACTTTACACTCCACACGCTACACTCCACACTCCACACTTGAGACTGGTAGCAGGGGAAATATGTTCCAAACTGTTCAAATAAACTATTGCAGAAAAGTGTTCTGCGTGATTGCATATCCATGTGTTTTGACGTCTGTACCATTAACATACGTGTGAGCATTCGGGTTCGTGGGCTGCATCTTGTTTTCTGGTCAAATCACCATTTTTTCTGGTCAAATCAAGTAAATCCCATCCATTTTGCGTGGCTTTTCGTGGTGATTCCTGGGTCCAGCTTTCTGTGCCAGGTCTGGCACAGCGGCCCGTGGTCTTTATCGAGCTAGCTAAGGCTCTTCCAGACATGGCTTTGTCGAAAACCCGAAACCCCATGAAACAAACCATGGTTCATCAGATTCATCATCATTTTTTCGTTTTTTTGGAAATTCATCATCATTTTTTGTAATTTGTCCTGATTTAGATATTGTAGTTTTGGGCATGCCCCATGTTACAAGCCAACTGGGGTTGAGTGGAGCAACTCATGCGTTATTTTGTTCGAACAAAAATTGGGTGTTTCGAGCCAATAAAATGAACATGTCACAATATCAAACTTATCATGTTTCAAGATCCACCAAGGACCAAATAGTAGGAACAGCAGATCAATTGTTCAAGCTTCCTACCTTGATAAAGTAAGGTTGAAGGTTGAACTCTGCAGCCCCAACCAGTTTTCCTACATTACGATTCAATCATGTTTGACCGATTTCTGCGTGCCAGGGGATCATGGATTTGATCAACAGCTACTGTCACTCTGTTTATTTGTCCGTGCTGATGAACCCTGCGAACCAGCGGGGTTGGTCGGACCTCATTTCGCGTGATCTCATCGATAAGTTTCACAGTTGCTCGGCAGGGTGTGGTCATTTCAGATGGGTGTGGGCCAACATGGGCCAACATTATCAACGCACAAAATCCCATGGCTTGGAATGCCATGTTCCCACTAAAATTGCTGCAAAATGGGTATGGCTCAAAGTTTTTGACCCCAATTGATGGACTACCACGGTTTAACGCTACGTACTTTGGAGCATCCCCCGTGCTCCCCGAAGGCTCTGACCCATTCGTGCCGTCCAATTCACGAATTCATTTTGCAGCAGTATAAGCAACCGGAGCAATCAAGCAAGAAGCCTTGCCCTTTTGGAATTGATGATCTAAAGTATACCACAAATCTTTCCCATCCGTGTGATTTTGGAAATCATCCCCAAACTTCAGCCCCAAACCCCTCAGTCAACCATCACTCATCACCACGACACCTAGGCTTTCTGGCGACGCTTCACGTGACCGTCGGTCTGATGAAGGGCCAGACTCTCCTACCTTTGCCGCCAAGGGAAGCCACAGGATCACAGGCGCTATGGATACAAAGAGATACAACGATGGGTGGAAAATGGTGGAAAATGGTAGAAATGTGTTGAATTTTTGGAGTAGACTTAACTTAACTGATCGAACATGATATTTGAATATATTTGAATATATTTGATACGTAGGGTTGATGTATCGAGTTGACTCTGATGTATGGATATATTTGCATGTAATGGTTTTATCAACCCAAGGATCTATAATCGCACTTGGCATCTGGGTATGGGTCAAGTTATTCATTCGGTCCCCCAAAAAGGAGAATCTTTGAACCCGGCCGTATTTCTTTGACCATCTTTGACCCATACTTTCATGCTGCTGTGGTATGATCCCATGACTTTTCTTCTTTCCCAGTTTGGATCTTTCACTTTTTGTGAAACCGCCAGGACTCCAGCCAAAGCTGGGGCCTCAGTCCCTTCGCGGAGTCGTTGATTTGGATGGCACCCACGGATTTTTTTAGTGACCAGGTGTTTTTTCCCAGCTTTCCAAGAAATTTGTTGTGGGGGCCAGCCTTTTCTTTCTTGTGTTTGTTGTGCTGGCACTATCTGGCACTGTCAAACGAAGCATCCACTATCATCCACTCCTGGTTACGCAAATAGATTCATTAATCGGAGGCAGGGTCACCCCAATCTAACATGGCAAGCTTAGTAACTTGGTTAAATTTATGGAATATATTAGGTTAATCCCATTCATGTGCAGATTGGTGAATATCGGGCGCCCAAAAATGGGTGTTTGGTTGTTGCTGGGTGTTTCATCGGCGCTTCAGTGAAGCTAATACACCAAGGCAAAGCTTCGTCCAGCGCCATCAGCAAGGACTGGAGATCATAAGTGTTAGATCACCAGGAAGTTTCAAATAGTATTTTCCAAGTCACATCCCTCGTCGTCACTTCAGCCATCCGCGCCGGATGAGGATGGCTGTAAAGTCTCCACTCTAAATCGATCCCCACCTCTGTGTCAAGCCAGGACCGAGTCCACGTGTTGGAAGGGGCAGCCCCTTGGAGATGGAATTTTGCAGCCAACAGTTGCTGCTGGAGCTATGTATACTGAATTATATTGACTGATATATATATATATATATTTATTTATTTATTTACTTATTTATATATATAATTATATATATATATACATATATAATTTCGACTCGGAAGTTCTATGTCGTGTTCCTCTGGCTTCATTCTGATAGAGATTTTGTGAAGTTCGCTGTGTGCCATAGTTCGACAAGCAATACCTCAAAGAGGTTGATCCAATGGTTTGAAACAGCTAAATCCAATCCCACCATATCCCACCATATTTCTCCATATGTCTCCATATTTCTCCATCCCATCCACATCTGAATGGATTTCCAATGGATTTCCACTGGATTTCCCGACCCCGACCCGCTTTCGGCTTTGGGTCGACCCGTAACGAGGTGATCACCTGGACCAAGCAGGTGCGCTACGTGCTGAAGCAGGAGCAACTCCACATGGTATGGCTCGGGTGGATTTCCCTGGAGCTTTGGAACTCCGCAGGTCACAAGGTGAGCAAGGTGAGGAACCGTGAGGAACCACTGGGTGAATGTGCTTCGAATATCTTCGAGTGTGGTTGCAAAGAGTTGCAAACCTTTGCATCATTTGCACATCTGCATCATCTGCATCATCTGCAGGAACCCGAACATGTTTTCAGAGAGGGGGGTCCTCAACCCGACGCCGAGCTGAGATTTTGGCAGAATCGGGTCAACGCCTCAGGAAAGCAGCGATTTGACCCCAAGCAAAGTCAAATTGCGAAGAATGCTGGGTCTGCCAGACTTCATGTCTGAGCAAACTGGAGCTTCTTTGACATATTTGATCTGATTTTGCTCCTGTGGAAGACTCAGTGACTTGAAGCAAACGAATTGAATCTGAGGCAAATAATTTGAATTCCATTCAGAATCAGCTGCAAATGGAGGGCGTCAAACGAGTGCCCAGCTCAGATGAAGCTGCAGATGTTCGAGAAGGATTACCTTTTGGCAAGCCTTTTGGAAATCTATCCTGGCAAAGCACAATCTCTGAAGAGTCGAGTCACAATTCATCGATGATCTTCATACTGAAAATGGTGATTTTGTGTTGCGAGGGTTGTTTGCCAAAAGGTGAACAGCTACACAGACTAAGGTGACAACCCAACTATCAAGACTACCCAATTCTACAATTTGGGGGGTTTACCTAAAACATTCCAAAACTATGGCGATGGGTGTTCACTTTTCTCTCATAGCCGAAACACAACATCGCCATAGTCATGGAAAACCTATGAAAACCTATGAAAACATCATCTCCAGCTGGATCCGACGGCGATCTGTGAGGTGCTCCGCTTCTTGGAAGCCAGCAAGAGCACCTACGTATCGCCCTTCGCGCGGCTGCAGAAGGAAGTGGAGGCCAAGAAACGAGGGAATTGAGCGGGGCACTGGGCCTGGGATGATGGAAAGTGAACGACTAAAACATGCAAAAACATGCAAAAACATGCAAAAACATGCAAAAACAACTGATTCTGATTCTTGAAAAGTTATATAATATATATAGTTGGGGGAAAGGAAGGTGTTGAAATATGTTGAAATATGTTGAAATATGTTGAAATCTCTTTTTTACATGCCTTTGCCAGGATAACCGAGAGGAGGCCAACGAGAATGTGCGGTTCCTGAAAACCTTGGAGCCCTACGTGAACAGCCTCCTCTCCGAGTCCATCGATTTCGAGGCCCGACCAACTCATAGCATAACAATTTTCAATATGTTTCAACATGTTTCAACATGTTTAAACGCTGAAATAATGATCAAAACGAGATCAACACAGGGCACCATTTTTGGACCTGGCAGTATCGGCTGAATTTTCAGGCCTTGGAGGAGGTCTTTGAAGACATTTTCCACATGCTCTTGTTGATTTGGAGGCGACGTTGCTGAAGACAAGATTTCGAGTTTCAAATTCCGTGGCAAAGTGATCAACCAGGGTCAACCAGGGTCAACCAGGGTCAACCAGGGTCAACCAGGGTCAACCAGGGTCAATTGTGAACGACGGTTCAAGCAGTTTGAACATGTTTGAACCAGGTGGGGTAGTGGTGACCATACAGCACAATGCCACAAACCTTAAAAGGCGGTAGTTGAAAACGGTGACCTATGATGACCTGACCTGCTGAGCTGCCAAATGCTCCCAGGCATTCCAAGTACTACAACTCCTTGGCGCGTTTAGCGGTGATTGTGCGGCAGGTGTGCAACAGTCTCATTGCACAGGCCGCGCGAGACATGGCCACGTCGCCGCAGCGTTGGATTCTGGGATTGACATGCTGAAAGAGATTTATTGCTTGGAAAGGCAGAAAAGTATGGAAAAGTGGCATAGAAAAGTATGGGTCTGCTTGAATTTTAACATTTGCAGAATTACAGTAAAACATGTAAAAAGATCTTTGACCTACAGAAGAGGGGATTGAGCTGGAAAACTTTGGAGATTCTGGTGTAACTCGGTGTAACTCGGTGTAACTCGGTGTAACTTGGTGTAACTCGGTGTAACATGGTGTAACTCAATATATTTCAATATCATTCCCTCTCGGATCGGCTCCAGGCCACGCGGTACATCTCCGGCAGCAGCGTCTTCGAGATGATTCAAAGCGAGGCGAATTTCGATGCGTTTCGAATGAATTTCCACTGCTTTCCACTGTGCTGTGCTTTCAACAGCAGAATGTTAAAACTTCTTCCAACTTCGAACTTGTTCTAGTTCTATCAGGTTCTATCAGGTTCTATCAGGTTCTATCAGGTTCTATCAGGTTCTATATTTGTATTTTGATATCGATATCACTGATATCACTGATATCACTTTACACGTAACTTTCGCCAGTGACCTTTGTGTTACACGCTCCAGGCCCAGGAGTGTTACACGATGCTGGAGACCGTGACGCGCGCCTTGGAATCCCTGCAGGATGGGCGAACACTGTGGGAACGATACGGAGCCGGAGCAAACAACACGTGAACGTCAAGAGATGTTGGATGTTG